AATGTCATTGTTCCAGGTGTGCCTTCAATTTATAAAAAATTTTAAATCAGAGTGATGTATTCTCTAACGATCAATTTATATTTAATTTAATCAAATTCAGACTTGCGTCATTTGGTTTATAAAAAGATAATTATCATTCTATTATTGTTAAAAAATGACAAAAATAGCTTTTAAAATGTGATATATTTATTAACTAATATTGATATAAGATTAAAGTAAGGCACTAATAATAGCCTTAATTTCCTATAGGCAAATTTTTTTAAAATATTTCTCATAATATTGATAATTGATTTTTAAAAGAAAAAAATTTTTCGATGAATATTTTAATCAGCATCGTATTGGCGATTTTTGTGTCCGAAATATCATCGAAAGGTATTTTTTAATTTATCTATTTTTGTATTATTTTATCTCAAATCGAACCATTATAAATGTAGTGCATTGCCCTATAAAGAAATCCAAGAAAGGTTAATTTTTAGATGCCTTTACAAGAGTAAATATCGAAAAATACGCTTTTTTAAATAGGATTCTTAAAGAAAAAATTGAATTTCCCATATGATGAAGTTAGAAATTTTACCAAGAAAGGTTAATATTTTGATTTTTAAATTTGATACATATTCCATCAAATTTTTCTCCAACTTTTTTTTTAGTAAGATCATATAAAGACTTGTGCGATATCGAGATAAGGCCCGGCTATTACAATATCCAAGATTCTAAAACCAAAAGTCTACACAAGTAAATCTTATATATATTACTACAGGTGTTGAAATTTTTTAAATTAAAGAGAAACACCAATTTTTTATCAATAATTTTAGATAAGTTTATTAATTTTGAAAAAGTAAGCAATGTGATTACTTATTTATAATAAGAGTTATTTTAGACTATTGCTCGGGAACACATGTATCGGTAAATTGTCCTATATTAAAAAGATATTTTAAACCCCATATATGTTTTTTATTTATTTTGAAGTGAAAGCTAATCCATAATATGTGTTTTATAGAAATCAAGCAGATAATATCTTAAAAAATAATTTTAAACTATATTTAATATATATCTTAAAAACTAATTTTAAAAACTATTTAATATTATACTAACCCCATTAGCTTATATCATGCATTGGCCTATATGTAGATTCCTTTCATTTTAAACAACTTTAAATATCATTTTAATTTGTAATTTATGTACCGATTCCTGGGTTCCCTAAGGGGTTATTTTTTTTAACATTAGTATAATGTATCAGAAATCTGCACGGAGTACAAAATTTTAAGCCTAGCCGGGTATAAAATTTTTTTTTTTTCTTTTCAATTTTAAGCCCGGCTAGAATTTCTTTGGCCCGAATATTGTTATTAAGAGCTTGATTTAACCGTTTCTAAATTAAGATTCTGGCAAAAATAATATTACACAAGCCTTGAGATTTCGTAAATAGATGTCCAAATCTTTCTGATATGTGTAAAATCTCTAGACTTGCGTAAATATTTTGTATTTTTTTTGGGTATTTCTTTCATTTTACGTGACTTGGGTAAACATTTTTCAAAATAATTTCGATATTTTTGAATAATTTTGCCTTTTGTATTTTTTGTAAATTGTTTCGAAATTTAAAGTATGAGCTCTAATTAATGTTAAACAATTATCGAAAACTTATTAATTGATTATTTTTTAAAGATAACAAATTTTTATAAAAATTTACCATTTTATTGCCTGCTCAGGGTGGCCCTGAAAGGTATCTAATATACAAATAATTTTTTTTTCTTCGTTTTATGTTATATTATATTTAAAAAAAGGAATATCTTATTATTTCGAGATGGCGACATCGTAGAGACAAGGCTGGTCGGTAGTTTTAGAAAAACTAGTTACGATGCTTTCAGGAACCAAATAATAATTTTTCCCGAGGATAGCATTAGAGGATTCATGAATTTTTTTTCTCAGAACCAAAATGTCACTATATATGCTAGGAAACAGGTTAATTATATTACTCAGCTATCCCAAAAACTTAAATTTTTCTTTAGCTTTTCAAAAAAAAGTACTTTAATTTTTTTTTTACACCCTGGATTTTGAGACAACCTTTTCCAAAACTTCATATCAAAAATAATTAATTAGATTAATAACATTTATATAAAATTATGTGAATGGTCTTGAATTTAACATTGTTTCGATGTTAGAGAGTTAATGCAAATGTTTTTAGATAGCCAAAAATAACGTTTAAATTTTCTTACTTTTCTGTGAATGTAAAAATAATTAAATTAACCTTTATCTAAGAAATACAATTTTTATCTAATTAAATATTTTGTCGGAAACATTTATAAACTAATTTTGATCCCACAAATCTTATCATTTATAATGTTTTTGAGAGCTCTATAATAGGTTTATTGAGTGCCTTACATTAAAAAAGTTACGTTGCAAAAAAATAAAAATGTGTTGTTACTTTACAAATAAATAACACAAGTATAGATTATAAGAATAAAAATATTAAGTATATAATGAAAAAAATTATTATCAAAAATTTGAATTATATAGCCCTGATTTTTAGAAAGTAACTAATGTCGTTACATTATAGAAGTAATTTAGAATAATTTTTAGGAAAAAGTAAGTAAAATAGTATATTATTTCGAGTTAAAGATTTTCTCTTTGCAAACAATTACTTTTGAAAGAATAATTTTAAATATTAGAGATATGAAAATAAAAAATTCATTTTATACTCTTTTTATTTTCTAAGTTTTTAATATTGTGTTTATTCGATTAAAAAAGAATTTTATAGAACTCCGCCCTAACAGTTACGATTTAGGAAATATTACCATGATGAATGTCATAACAAGCAAAAGGAAATATTTGTACATGAAACACTATGCCTACGTAAAGATTTAAATATCATTGTCTTACATATCATAGTGATGAAAAACCAGTGAACAACTTAAGCCTCCCCCGCTTGAAATCTCTACGCCACCCCCACCCCCCCCCCCCCCCCCCCAGATAAAAAAAATTTTAGGTTCCTTTATATTTATTATTCTTTCATAAAGATTATATTTTTAATACTGTTACCATATAAATTAGCCTCCGAATACAGGTTTATGTTCTCTTATTCCGATATAAAATAATATCAAAGATCTGGAGAGGTAAAATTTTAAGCCCAGATTTTTCAAAAATAAACCATAAATTTTTAGCGGTAAAAGGAAAATGTTAGGCTAAATGATTCTCCAACAAATATATTTAATGTTATTTTAAAAAAAATTGACCCAGCCCGCATTTCGTAAATTGTTCGCTTTTACTTTTTAAGCCTGGCCTAATAATGTTTATATATATATACTAATAGATTGGCGATTCATTCAGTGTAAATATATAGAAGCCGGTTGTAGCACCATCATGTGGTTTCTTCGTCATTTATATGACATTAATGTGTATTCATATGGTGATAAATAAAGAGAATTAGTCGAAGTGCAAACCATAAAATGGCGCTAGAGCTGACTCCTGAATGAATAGCCAATCTAATAGTATGAAAACAGTATTAGCCCAGTCCGTAGTTTCACCCGGTCTTACAAATTTTTGAAAAGTATACATACATTTTATATTTTTTCCCCACTCCAAATAGTTGTTTGTACAGCAAAGTTCCAAGGGCGTAATAGTAAAATTCAATAGCAATGAAGAGGATATTATAAAAGACCATGTTTTGGTGCATCTAATCCTAGGAGCTTCAGCCCCACCCCAATATGTACCATTTGAAGGAGGTCAGCTCGTGTTAACTAAATCTGCCAAAATTTGCACTAAAAATGAATAAATACTCAAATACAATATTGTTAGATAATTTAATTTTACCATCAAAATGCCAATAAAAACCTATCTAATTCTTTATTTAATTCATGCATTTAAGTATAGGAAAAATAAAAATACAATAGTTAAGCTACAAAGCATAAAAGAAATTGTATATACTAAATTCTTTAAAAAAGATATCCAGACTTTCTTAATTATATTTTCTCTTCCAAACTATTGCAATGGTTAATTAGCTATTTGGCTGTTTATCTACTAAATCAATAAAAATTCAGTTAAGTTTAGCCAATTGAGAGCTATACTTATTAACTTTGCTTATTATTCTGTGTTTGAAAACATAACAAAATTTATCACATTTTTTGCTTTTCCCCATAAGTGCGTTTTTGCTTTGAATTTCCGAGCCCTAATGATAAGTAGTTAGATTTTTGGTAGGGTTGGCATCATTTAATTCATTTTATTTAAATCATAAAAAAATCATTGATTTTAATCATAATTATTCGTTTATAAATTAAACATTTTATTAGATCACTACATTTTGCTTATAAGTTGCAATTAATTGTGTAATTTTATTAAAGACAATTTTATCTTAAGTTAATTCTGAAATAAATTTTTAATATAATAAATCCTATAAAAATCTTTATTAATTATTAATGTTTAAATTTAATGAAAAATCTCTTATAATTTTTCGAATTATCTTTATTTAAATTTTTATTTGAAATTTAATTCATAATTAATATAAAAAATATCTTTTCATTTATAAAAATTTTATATATAATCAAACCCCATTCAACCAAGTTTATTCATAAATTTCACAGGTTTAATATGATAAATGAGTTAATAGAATTTTCCAGGACATATATCAGAGATTTGCAGGCCCGGCCCTAAGCCAGTGGGCCGTATTTTAGTTTTTTTTAAATACGGACAAGGCCCAAAAAAATTTTTTTTTTAGAAAAATCTGGGCCAGGCTGTGCACATGGTACCTCTGCAGGTCTTTACATAGAAATATTTTGGTAATCAAGAACTTTTTTAAAAAATTTTTTATTAATATCTAATTATAAACAGATATATACTTTTTGGGCAAAAAAAAATTGCACAAAATTTTTTCAACATTTAAAACAAAATTAAATTAATAATCTATATTACAATACTATAATATCACAATTTAAAAATAAGATAGTATAAAAATTGATAAGAATTTTCAAATATAAGAATATTTATATAATAGAGGACTTTGGTATAAATATTAAATGTCATAAGATACGATGAAAATTTATAATCCTTGAATACAAAAGGTAATCATTTTTTATATATAGCATTTTGGTTTAAATCAGTACTATCATTTTAAATTTTATTTAGTCGTTCCTTTTAAAAACAAGGGGAATAATTACTAAAATTTCGAAGAACTCTAAATAACTGTTTAAAAGTTTTAGTTTAAAAATGGTCTAAATTTATCACAAGCTTGACTCCGAAGAGACTAATAGCCAAGCGAGTGTTGTAACTAGTATTTTAAATGAGCTTTCTAATCAATAGAGATCGAAATTAATTATAAAAAAATATTGGAAAACATTTGATGGCTGACTACATATATTTGTAAATAAAATGCTTATGAAAATAAATTTTTTTTTTAAATAAAAATTTAAAGTTACAAGCCAGATATTTACCAACCGTTCAAGTTCAAAAATTCATTGTTTTTTATTCAAGAGATTCTAAATTTTTTGTTTTACTCTACTAAATTTTAATATTAAAAGCTAGGAGAATGGTGGAATGTCTCTAGAGTGTCAATCATAATAATATATATAAAAATACATAATCTTTGTTGGATAATAACCTTTCAATATAATAATAACATAAGTATAATGGTCAAAAAAATAAATATCATATAATATAGTAATACATACATACATTATATTTTAAGATTTAACCCTAATAAGGTTTCAAGTGTTTTTAAAATTATTTTAAAGCGAAAAGTTTCATTTATTCATTTCTCGTTTATGAGGATTCAAAAAATTACAATTTAAAAGTATTTTATCTTCCTTTCAAAATAATCCGCATTCTTTAAGGTTGTTTTTGATGATGATGTCCGTGACAGCGTCGAACACGAATCTTATATTTTCCGTATCCGTTGCGCAAGTAAAATGAGCGTATATCTCTTTATCGTTGCTTCCAACATTTATCTCCCTTATATCCTTGAAATTTTCAGTTCTGGGATGGCCGTTGGTGCCGTTATTAATTTGTGAATATTGAAGGGAACGTTTGTTCAAGGCTTCGAATTTGTGCTGGATGTAGGCGCCGGCTTCTTGGTAGGTGTTAGGACCTGAATATAGCATTATAGTGTTGAAGAAAATGTATGAGTTGAATAAATGAGTAAAAAGAGATATGAGTGGACCAGTTCAAAATAAATCTCTCTCATAGTTAATAACAAATTTTAATATGATTTGAGGTTGTTTGAATTAGGCGGAAATTTTAAGTGAAGAAAAAAAATTGTACAATTCCATATTTTTTTTAACGATTCAACAACATGATTTTCTAAATACTACTAAAAATTCTAGATATTGCTGTTTGATTATTATTTTTTTATTTTTAATGTATTCTTTTAAAAATGGAAACTTTATAAAATAATTCTTTTTCTCCCATAGTAAAAAAAAAGGAAGATTTTTTTGTAAAATATTTTAGGTTTCAATTTCTACAAATTTTATTTGAGATTTATCTTATTTTTTACAATTGGTAAGAAAAGAAAGAAGACGTATCTTAATCTTGACTATTGATTTTTTCGAATTTATGGGAAGTCATTAAACCACCAGGATTTATAGAAGAAATCTGAATTCCTGAATCGATGGGAAAATATTAGCCAGTTATAGCTTAAAGTAAATAACCAAAAAATAAATAAGGACAATTTTGGACATTAGCAGAAACTATGAATATACAATCTAATGTTAACTCGAAGAGATTATTACATTTTGTAACCAACATCTTTAAAATAATATATATTTACGTTCATTTTTAAAATAAAAATTAGACTTGGAAATGAAATATTTGTAGTTGCTAAATAAGATAAGCTAAAAAAAAATACCCGAATATTCGGGGAAACATTGATTAAGGGGAGATTTTTGAATCTTTTCTTGAAACAAATCCTTTTTATTCAAGAAGAGGATGATTGAGGTATCGACAAACCATTTGTTGTTACATATAGAATCGAAAAGTTTCATGCTTTCCTTCATCCTATTCTAAAGGTGTGAATAGTGTTTTTTTTTAAATCGTGTTTTTAGCAATTTATAAATACATATTTTCCTTCTTTGAAACTCCCTTCTCAATTTTTTTTTATTTCAATGTACTTTTAATAATATTTTATATAGAGTAACAGCTAAAGAAAATTTTTTTTTTAACCTTATCGTCTGAACACTGCTATGATAATAGTCTCTTCCGTAATGAAAAAAAAACTCCTTTTTTAAAAAAAATACTGTCCCCATATTTTTATCCCAATTGAATATATACCGTGTCATCATCCTCCGCTAATTTCAGGTCGTAACCGCTCAATGATACGCAAAATATGATGGCCGTTACACCTTCAAAACAGTGAATCCATTTTTTACGCTCGGATCTTTGACCACCTACATCGAACATTCTTAATTTTGTTAGGATAAAAAAGGAAGAAAATAAATTTTCATAACAAATATAAATTCATCCGCTAATCAAAATATTTTTAAAGGTAATAGGAAGGCGTTATTTCTTCTTTAAATTTATTGAATCATAAGATTTCTTCCGCATTCTGCGTTTGAATTATTACTGTGTTCTTATCTACCATTTTGAATGATGATTAATATAAAAATTAATTTTTGGAAGGAGCTTTGTTGTTAGATTCGGAACCAAGAACTATAGGGGAGGAACGAAATCGGAACAGTTCCGGATCTTCCGAGTTCTTGTAGACGTTTGAATATAAAAATTTTGATGTAACGGAAAACCAAACATTTTTAACCTTAAAATAAACTGGAAGGGGTACACCAATACTCAAGTAAATATTTTTAATTATAAAGGATATGTAATGGAAGAGGAACGAAAAAAAATTGCTATACAGTATTCCTGTTTTTTTAATGGAGGATGTGATTAATTAAAATCGTATGGGGAGTCGGATCTTAAGATCCTATGCTATTAGTGAAGACCGAACCAATGCACTCGGACCGGACCACGATCTTTAAAAAAATCGATACATTACGAAGAATAATATAAAAAAAAATTATTCACGTCAGTTAAGCAGATGCTTTAAGGAGAAAAATTCGTCCATATAAATGGATTAAACACGACATTCAGCCCCACATTTTGTATATATTAAGTACAAATATGAAGGTATAGCTATAAACAAACTAATCAGGGTTAATTGGTTATGTGTCATAAAAAATAGAATTTACACACTTAACCCAAGTCCGGATTAACCTGGGTTTGGTCCAGGTCTGATATAAATTAATAGTGAATTACCCAAATAAATAAAATAGAATGAGGTAAGCAAATTTAATTTGGTAAAAAAAACTTTAAATAGTCATTTATTATAACTGGCAAAAAAAATAATTGAAAAAAGGTAATCAAGTCAGGATAGTTATATTTTAGGATATAATAATCTTTCATTTTGTTAGAAATCAATCAAAATATGAACAAAAATTCCTAAACCCGGTCCGGGGAAGAAATCATAAATATTTTCGAATTCAGAGCCTTACTTTGACAGTATATGTTAATTTTTTTTGTCTAATGTTAATAAATAATTTGATTTGCAACTTATTTAATTAGTCTCCTATCTTTTAAAATGGTAAATTTCATTAATAATATTCTTCATGAAATATAATATTTTAATAATAAATAAGGAAATAAATAAAACAAGTTAATTTATATCAAAAAACCGGGTTAAGAAAAGAAAATTTTAATAAAAACGACCTTGGCCTGATCCATCATTCACAGTTAGAGCAAAATATATAAATAAGAAGGATCTGAGCCTGGTCACCTCTACAAAATAATGACATTAAATTTAATTTTTAAACAAACTTGAAATGCAAATTTTTGAAAGTAAATTGGGTTTCGACGATGCCGGTGGTTTTAACCCTCGTTCTCAAAACATCTTGAACGGTTGGCACGTATCCTGGGGCAGATATTCTGTCCAAAGAGTCTAGATAACTTAAAATATTTTAATCTAAATTTAGAACTCTATCAAGTTCTAGCGTAGCTAAAAAAATGATTCATTTACATTTAGGGCTTATAAACCCAGGTGTATCTGGAAATTTAATTTATTGAAAGGCCAAAATCTCAATTTTTTATTTTTAAAAAATTGTCAAATGAGCAAAAATATCGATATTCCCATACGTCCTTTTCAATTTCAATAAAAATTTGAAGACATGTCATTATAAGTTCTAGTAGATCTGAAGTGAAATTTTAGCTCATTAGTAATTCTATTAAACGAGATAATGGTAAGGAACAAAAAATCGGCTTTTTCAAACTTTTACTTATGTTAAATAATTAGTCTTAAATTAAATGCGAAATTAGTTCGAATATTGATTCTAATATTAATAACTAAGTCAATAATTAATAATTATGGGGGAAACATTAAATGAATATATTATAAGCTTCAATTTTTCAAATTTATATTTCCTTTCAATTCTTCAATAATTATTCAGGCTAATATTAATTAAAAACTAGGCAGATTATGGTAACAAGTCTATGGTTAAAATAATTCTAGCCACCCATCCCTTTTATCAAAAGAAATAAGTATTACTTTTTTTGGACCAAAACATATCGGAGTTATTTTAAAGTCATTTCTGCATACTCCCTTTATTCTTAGCTAATGTTCAAGAATGGCGTCTTTTTTAAAAAATTGGTCAATCTCATTTTTTAAACTAAAGTAACTCTGTTTAATATCTGTATTTTGATAGGATCCAGCAGGCCAATAAAAAAATATTGTCTAATTGCAAGAATTTGACCTAAAAAAAGCCCAAACTTATGAGATCTTTGGGGTCAAAAGCAAGCGTCTTTTCACTGGACCAATCCAGTTATTATTTTTAAAAAAAGCTATCAAAATTCTATATATTAATTAAAATTTTGGCTGACCCCCTGTCCTTGCCAACTATCTTATTCTTTTTTCTAACCTTCTTACTCTTTGTGCAGTTTCAATTCTTTTTTTATTCTCTAATTATTTAACAAACGATTGTACAGATTATAAGTTTTACTATTGGGCCGAATCGTTGAGTTGGTATTCCCTAGATCTTAGAAAACACCTTTGAATACCAGAGTCCTTCCATAGCTTTTTCATGATATCTGCCAGTTCTCGTTTCATTTCCCGGCCGTCGTCCATGTTATTGGATAGTACGAATAGCTGCCTGGCGTCTTGCTTTACCGTAGATTTTTTAAATTATATTAACATTATTACCTCAAATGATAAATCTATTATAATGGAAAATGATTGACAATTTGATTTTTTTAAAAAATAAATCAAGAATTCATGATTATATTATAATTTTCATATAATAATAAAACATTAGAACTTTGACCCTAACTAAGATTCGACCAAATAAAGTTTTAAAACCATATAGTAGTGAGAGTAATGATATATAATGTGGCCTTCATATAGCAATTTTCTAAATCATACATCGTAGCAAGCAGTAGGGGTGGGACCAATACCAATATAATATTGGTTTACAATACCAATACCAATATAATATTGGTTTACAATACCAATACCAATATAACCCATATATATTTAAATATTGGTATTGCTTTTACAACCAATACCAATACCAATTACCTAAATATATTGGTTTTGATATATTGTTTAAATACAATTTTAACCAATACCAATACCAATATTAAAAATAACATAATTATTTGGGTTTATCGTGGATAATTATATCATGGTATTTTTTTTACTTTCATTGCAAAAACTGATTACATCTGTTATTTCTCCCAAATACTACTGTGATATCAATATTTCTGTTATTTATAATTATAGTTTATTTTTATTATGGAAGTAAAATTTTTACATGATATCTATCAATTATATCTATTTATTTAGGATATTATAATAAATGAAGACCAAATAGAGTTAATAAATATAGATGCTGTTGGTACTAATAATAATAGCGATAAGGAACAAGAAGAATTATCAATATCTAATAAAAGACGAAATTCAGCAAAAATCTGGGAATTTTATACTACTTGTGATAATAAAAAAAAGGCAATTTGTAATAAATGTAAAAAAAAATATCACTTCCCAATTTTGAAACCTCAGGATTATGGACACATCTTAAATCCATCCACCCAACATTATATAAGAAATGTGAGCAAATAAATATTAGCAGTAAAAATATTAAGACAATATAATCATTTTTACTTAATAATATAAATAATAAAGCTAATTTAAATAATTTAATCATAAACTTTTTCATTCAAAATAATTTAGCCTTTTCAATAGTGAGGATATCACTTTTAAAAATTTAATAGCATATTGTAACTCTTCACTAATATTAGTTTCTAGAAAAACACTAAAAATAGAAATTATGAAACATTATCATAATTCTTTTATCAATTTAAAATCTACTTTCTAACATTACATCTAAATTTTCCTTAACAATGGACATTTGGTCCTCTCCAAATAAAATACTCTTTATGGGCATAACAATTCATTATATTGATAATGATTTTAAATTAAATAATCATTTATTAGATTTTATTCCTTTTAAATCAGCGCATAATTCTATTAATATTTTTAATTCTGTATTAAAAGTAAAATTTGAAATTGATTTTTTATGCAAGTAATAATTTAGCATTTCTAAAAATTTTAAAACAAAAAGATAATTTTGATAATGTGTGCAAATGCTTTTGCCATATTATACATTTGACTGTCATGGCTGCATTGGAACCCTTAAATACAACTTAAAAAAAATAAGAAATTTTTTAAAAATTTTTAAACTTTCTATATCTAAATTTAATAAACTCGAAAAAATATATCTTGAAAAAAATCCATACTTAAAATTTCCTCACCCAATTTTGGATATACCAACACTTTGGAATTCAACATACCAAATGCTTGAAAGAGCAATATTGCTCAAACCCTATTTGACAACATATACCAATCATTTACAAAATACCAATCAAGAAAATTATATTAGTGCCTTAGCCTGGAATAATATAGAAATATACCGATAATTTCTGGAACCATTTGATTTTGCTACAGAGATGGCCTCATGTGCTAATACTCCAACAATTTCAACAATTATTCCTTTATATTCCAGTATTTTTGAGCATGTGGAGAGTTATAATAATAATCCTAATGCTATTTTAAAGACAGCTTCTTTAGCTGTCTTAACAAAACTTATTAAATACTATAATTATAATAAACACCTCTTTATTATTTCAACAATGATTGACCCAAGATTTAAACTATCAAGTCATTTATTAAAGCGTAATAATATGGAAACTCTTATTGGATATCTTACTAATGAATACAATATTTATAAAATAAATAATAACAATTCTGCGGAACTTACAAATGAAGCACAAAATAACAAAAAATTGTCCTTTTATGACAAAATTTATCAGGTGAAACCTCATAATAATAACAACTTAGAAATAAGTAAATACGTAGATGAAGCCACAATTTCCAATGATACAAATCCATTATATTGGTGGAAATTAAATAAAAATAGATATCCAGTATTATCAAAAATTGCCAGAGATTATCTAGCAATTCCGGCCACCTCATCTAGCTCTGAAAGGGCTTTTTCAGAAGGACGGTATGTTATAACAGACCAACGTTGTTCACTAGATGAGCATACTATACAAGCTTGCCTGTGCCTAAAAAGTTGGATGCGCATGCAAGATTCTTCTTAAATACATAAAATTATTTCCTCTTCTTATATTAAAATTATATCATTCTTTTGCATTATATTTTGTATAAATAGACAGTTATGTTACATTTTTAGTTTACTTATTTTGCTATGTTCTTTGTGATAAATAAAATGGTTCAAAATCAATACGTTTATTATTGTTGATACAAAAAATACATGATTAAATCAAAATTTTTTATATTCACATCACCTAATAAATTCCTAGTTTAAAAAAAGAATTTGAATGCAGTAAAATTTTGAGAGTTGTTTCATAGCCCTGATTTCATGGTATCATGATTTTTTTTCGCATGTTTATTTAAAATTAGAAATTAAGGGTTTTATAATCACTATTTCTATTTTTTTAACTAGTAATTTGAATTTAAATTAATACCAATAAAAACCAATAGTTACCAATATAAACCAATACCATACCAATACAAGAAATAGAAAATATTGTTTAAACCAATACCAATATTTTAGACCCAATACCAATACCAATACAATATTTTGTTAAAATTGGGTTTTTACTATTGGTTCCCAGCCCTAGCAAGCAGTCCTTGCTGGATTCGATTCTAGGTTGAGGTTATAAAGTTATTCCTCAATCAACGCCTATAGCAATTGAGCCACAGACGCTATTCGGAAACAACAATTTTTTTTGGTATATAAGGATAAAATTACGACGATATCTAATATTGATATAAAACAGATAATAAATCAGTAACGTTCTATGATATACATAATTAGCCTAATAGTGAGGGAGGGTATGGGCCAGGTCAAGCCATATAAATATAAAACAATAGCGAAAAGGGGAAATAATATCCAAATTTTATTTTAAAAAAAATATAATAATTATTTTTGACGTTTCAATTCCTTTTTTTTCATTAAAAAATTTGTTTGTTGAAATTAACGTTAGCTATTTTTTTAAAAAGAAATAATTATATTTTGTTAAGAAAAACAAAAGGAAAAAGAGAAAGATTTCTGGTGACGCAAATAACAATGTGATCAATTAAACGGCGTAAATTAAATTCCTTTTCTTATCAGTAAAATTTTTTTTTTAGCCATTTGGCCAAATTTTAGCCGGCTATCCAGGAGTTTTAAAATATGGCAGCTCAAATTCGAAAGTTAAACTAATATAAGTTAAAGCGCCTTAACGTTAACGGATTTTCTCCGGCATAGGTAGATTTAGCCAAATTAGCCATTGCCCAATTATAATTATCAGGAATAAGTAATTTCTCAGGGACTTATCTAAAACGAATTTTATAATGGCAGTTATATATTTTTTTTAAATTCAGCTGATTCAAAAAAAGAGGAAGAAATGTTATCAAAAATTAACTCTTCCTAGATATCTACAAAAATTAGAATTATTCTAATTTATTCGTCGAAATTCGATTTGAAAAATTCTTTAAAAATAATTAAAAATGGAAATTAAAATTTAAAAAAGTGATTTACAGATGTGGAAAAACGTAAATAAAAAAAGAAGTTCCGTTCCGCAAGGAATATATGTTAAATTAAAAAGTGTAAGTAATTAATTTTTACGAATAGAATAAGGTACATAGAACGGCATTTAAGGTTTAGGATACCTAATTTATTTTTCGAACGAAAATGGTTTGCGTAACAAAATTATTTACGAAATAAATTGCATTTTTATTTGCCCCTTTGCTATACTTGGTTATTTCTGAGAAAATAAAAACTTAGACTTTCTTTCTCGAATATTCTAAATTAAATTTAAGGTTAATTACATATAATTCTTCGTCGTAAAATGGGATATCGAGCTGAGACATGGCCCTAACGATGGCCATGAGAGATTGAACAGTGTTACTATAAACGACGGGTTTGTACTGGATGCATTCATCTTTTGTGTAACCGTTTTCGTGGAGAATTCTTTAATAAAAATAAATAAATTAAAAATCCAAAATTTGGTATATTTATTTTATAACAAGGAAGCGTGTTTAAATAATTTTCATATAAAATCTTAATTCCACCATTTTATTCTACGTAAATTTCTTCGTCCCTTATTAAATTCTCTTTTTATTTACGATTACTTTTCATTATTATCATCATTATTTTTCCTTTTTATTTTTTGTTATAGTTATATATTTTTTTCCAATAATTTTCCAATCAATCATAAATTACTCGACGACAAGATGAATCTTTTAAAGATAAATTTCACATTTAATATTAAAAATCTAGTTTAAAAAAACCCTCATTTAAATACTTCAAAAAAATATCCAAAATTAATTATTGTGTAAAACAAATTAAATTATAGGCTAACTATACCACCAAGGTGGTTTATTAAATTAAATAAAAATTAGAAGTAAGCTATTTATAAAAAAAATCACCCAATGATTTTTTTTCATAGATTTAATCGGTAAATTCCGTATCAAATTAATTAGTTTCACCCTTTCATATTAAATTTATCTACAGTTTATTGCTTGACGAAATCTAGCAAACAAATTAAGGTTCACACGTAACCTATATAAACCTGATAGGCATTTTAGCCCCTCATAATTTTGAAGATATCAAAGTGTTTAAAGCATGAAAAAAAAACCTATTTTCCTGGATTAGGAGTGTAGTATGCCACTCAATTAATGATTTATCGAAAATTATGAAATTGTAAATAATAAATCTAGTATCGAGAGATAGAGACCTATTATAAAGGGCACAATTTTTATGCCCAGCTAGGATTTGAAAATTTTGTATATTATTTTCAAACCCTTCCTGGACGAATTTTTCTTTAGATGTCCCCAATGTTTTATTTTCGATTATTCTAAGTCCCGGGAGAAATTATAAAATTTTACTATCTCGAATAATTTTGCAGGAATTTTACAAATTTTTTAAAAAAGGAAATTAAAAAATATGAGCATTAACTCCTTTATACGATTTTCTAACATTTTTAACTTGATTAATTGATATAATTTTAAATTTATTTTTTCAAATCGCCCCAAATTTTTAATTCATACCATTTTACGACCTGTTCCGAGCGGGGTTCCGGGCCTGGAGGATCTCTAATCCAAATAAAGGGTATACTTTTGTAAAATAGGCTACTCTGATTTTTATGTATTATAAATGGACATTATTATTTAAAACTTATTAGCCTGTTGTAGTGTTGTTAAAAGGCCCGAATAAGATTTTAACTAAAATAATATTATGTACGCCTCGAGATTTGGCAAATAGGGGTCCAAACCTTTCTACCACCTATGAAAAAAAATTTAGGCTAAAATCATAATCGGACCGTTTAACATAATTTGCCTATTATATGTTTGTATTAAAGAGTGTATGCTAATTTTTGTTAAATTACAAATTATTGTAATCTTATTAAGATGTTTTTTGAATTATTTATTATTATTTAAAAATTATAAGTTTTTATTATACCGTTAATTTGAATAATCAGATTTTGATGTTTTGTTTAAAATAATTTATAATTATGTAAATTTGAATTTATTGTATTAAAGAGAAGAATGAAAATTATAATTGGTAAATTTTATATAAATAAAAAGTTAGATCAAAATTTTTTTCTATTCTTAAATTTCAAAATTAATAAAAACCTTACGAAAATTAATTTATTGTAGGGTTGACCGATTCAAATCACCCCGATTTTTTTTAAAAAATAAACAATTTAAATTCAAAATAATGAAAGATAAGGTTTAATAAATAGCAAAATCTAAAATAAATAACCAAATTGCACTATTAATCACAACTTGGACAAAAAATTTTATTTTCTATTTCAATTTTTGATATAGTAGGCAAATAGCCGTGATCCTAATCGCAATAGTGAAAAATTATTTAATATTCTAAATGTAAGATGGAACTAATATCAAAAATATACACATATTTTAAAAAAAAAATTTATTTCGAAAAATAAACAAATAGATTGTAAAATTAAGAAATAACATACATTAAATCACAAGTAATATTTATATCGGGCCTAATTTTTCAAGCCCGGCCCGGCCCGAAATTTTTTTTAAAAAGGTTTTGCCGGCCCGGCCCGAACCGGAAATTTTTTTAAAAAGTTTTGCTGGCCAGGCCCGAACCCGAATTTATTTAAAGAAATTAATATTTATAATTACTCAAAATAAAAGACATATGTTATATGTCGTTTAGTTTCAATAAATAAAATCAAATATTTTTATTTTACATAAAAAATTCAATATAAAATTAATAAATTTAGATATATTTAAAAAAATTTCCAAGGCCTAACTTTGCAGATCTCTAATTTATATCATCGACATTGGTATTAGAATTTAATTGTATAATTTAAAAATTTATATCTAATGTATATTTTTTAAAATAGACAATTTTCATACTTATTTTTTTTTTATACAATAATAAAAAAATTTGTTCAAGATTAAAAATATTAGTACGTGATACGTGATATATAGCGCATATGCCCTCTGACTTTGAGTAACAAGAGAGTTACGCTAGGTTTTCCTCATTTCCATCTAATTGGAACAAAAGTTAAAAAAATATGAGGAGCCCTCCACACGCTTGTGGGCAAGCCGCATGTACTTGTATGCTCAACATTTCGAAAAATGTCGCAGACGTTAATGGGCTTAAAAAACCAAAAGGATAAGGGCAAAAAAAGAGCCTATGCCCAAGAACTGCAGTTTAAGTTAATTACTTTAAGGGTGGGTTGTGGCTGATTTTAAGTTTAAAGTTTTTATAAAAGAATTAAAATAAAGTACCTACCGATTCAGTTTGCTATTTTTCCTGATTTAGAAACGTCATATATTATGATTTGAAAAAAAGATGTTGACAATTGAAATTTTAAACACAGGTGATATTTCATGAAAAGTTTTTAATGGACTATTTGCAATTATTTAATTTAATGAATTGTTTAATATTTAGATTTAACTCCATTACATCTTTAATAGTCTTATAGTACCAGAGAGATTATATTCTTTCTTATTATAGGTGTAAAGCCATGTAATGGCATCATGAACTAAATTTTGATCCGAATTTCTTATGATATGGGCCAAAAATTGAATGCGGCGTTTCCTCAGGGTGATGTGTATCGGAGTATGCTTAGATGTTTTCCATAAATTATTATTTGATATAACCTTCGGATAAAAAATGCCATTTATGATTCTTAGACAATTATTTATAAAGGATTGGAGTCTCCTATTTTCTGCTTTATTAAATTCCTATAAGCCCCCCCCCCCCAAAAGCAATATGGGGATTATTGTAGAATTAAAAATTCTAAATCTGGTGTAAACAGAGATCTCCTTTGTTTTCCATATTTTCATATATTTGTAAAAAGCCCCTTTCACCTTTTGTATTCTTACTTTCATCTCTTCTTTACAGCAGCCCTTGTTGTCCAACAATATGCCTAAGTATTTAGCTTTATCTACTACCTTAATAATATTACCACCAATTATGATATTTGGATTCTGGGCTGCACTAGGGGAAGGAAGAATGACTGTTTTGTTAAAATTTATTTTCAATCCCATTTTTAGACTTAAATTTTCTAGTAGGTATAACAAATTTTCCGTTTCTTTTATACTTTAAAGACACAACAGCGATGTCATCTGCATATGATATTATCCTATTTTCAAGATGTATTCTTGCGTTTGAGCTCAGATCCATTAAACTCGCGGCTCCCGAGACTTCATTTATAATTTTATACATTATGATATTAAACAGAAGAGGTGAAAGTACACATCCTTGTTTCATACCTTTCTTAATCTTGAAAGGGGGGGGGGTGTCTTATTGTTGATTTTGATACAACCGGTAATATTCGTGTAGTGGTTTTTTAATATGAGAATTATATTTGATTCAATCCCACATTCCAACAGCGTCTTCCATAAAGCATCATGATTTACATTGTCAAAAGCTCTGCTGAAATCAACGAAAGTGAAGTAGGCGGGAATTTTATATTTCCAACATTTTTGCATTATTATTTTTAGTGCTAAAATTGGTTCCAGCATATTTTCTTTGGTCTGTAGGTACAAATATATTTCGGAAGCAAGGTTGGCAGAGATGACATGATTATGTTCTTTATCACATGAATATTTTAGACAGAGTAGATGTGAGGGTAATCGCGCGATAATCTTTGAAATTTTTTGGGTATTTTATCTTGGGGAAATTACATAATAAAGAGATATTCCATTCTTAGGGAGTTTCACCACTTTCCCAGATTTTGTTAAAGAGAGGTAGTAGATAGGAGGATATAGTGATTGGTGCTATTTTAAGATGTTCAGCGGTTATTCCATCTAGCCCAGGGGCTTTATTATTACCCAGTTTAGTGATTGCCTTACCAATTTCATCAGTGGGGAAAACGGACGGAGGCGGGATTGAGTGTTCTCTTATGTTCGTTTGGCAGATGGCTTTTCTTGAGTCGAAGACCCTAGTAATCTAACCATAAAGCTATTTGCTCGTCTTGATCCGAAATTTGTTTCCCGTTCTTTAAAACTAGAGATGGGAGCTTTTTGAAACTATAGGGATTACAAAAATATTTTAGTTTATTGTACGCATCATATATTCTATTTTCTATCGATTTCAAAAGCTTTCTTTGCAATGTATATCCTTCTATCGCTCCTCAAACATTTGTATGTCCTTCCATAATTCTTTATTTAAAACATTTCCTTCTTTAAGCTGATTGATTTTAACTACTGTCTCATTAGTTAACCATTCCTTCCTTAAAAAGATATTTATATTAGATAGCATGTTATATGACTCTATAATACTTCTTTTAAAAAAGTTCCAGAATACATCTACATTTCTATTCTCGGTCATATTCAAGAAATTTCTCTTTTTCTGACTAACACTTGGTCCAGTAATTGTAAATTTTCCAGTGATTGTTCTTTGATTTGTTTCCGAGGTAGTATAAGTTTAAAAAGATTTACCCTGTATCCAGATGTATTTGGACTACTTTTGTGATGGTATTTCCATATATTCTCTACAAACATCTTAGCAACCACCATTCAGTGGTCTGATAGTTTAATGCTCGTGGACACTTTGACCTCCTCAAACCATTCATGGATATTAGATATGAAAAAATCTATTTGGGATTTGTGTTTAGCTCTCACAAAAGTAAACGTATTTATCTCACTATGGTTGAAAAAAGTATTCTCTATTTTCAGGATTTTGGTTTTGCAAAAATCAAGTAATCTTATGCTATCTTCCTTATTGGTTTATTGCATGGTCGCATTTCCAATAATATTATTATTAACATTTTCCTCATTTTTGCCAATTTTCAAGTTCAGGTCCCCTAAAATTATGATATTATATCTCGTAGGCAGAGAATTTATTAGAGTATCTATTTCGTCAATGTAATCTAGTCTCTCTTTCCTCTTTGGTGGGGCGTACATATTTACAAATATCGTGGGTCTGAATCTTGTATTAAGATAGAGAAGTCTACATCTTTTTAGACTATTAAAGATGTAATGGAGTTAAATCAAAATATGAAACAATTCATTAAATTAAATAATTGCAAAAAGTTCATTAAAAAACTTTTCAGGATAAAGGAAAAATATTTCAAATGAAATATCAACTGTGATTAAAATTTCAATCGTCAACATTTTTTTTTCAAATCATAATATGTGACGTTTCTAAATCAGAACAAATAGCAAACTGAATCAGTAGGTACTTTATTCAAATTCTTTTATAAAAACTTTAAACTTAAAATCAGCCACAACCCACCCTTAAAGTAATTAACTTAAACTGCAGTTCTTGGGCAATAGGCTCTTTTTTGCCCCGCTTCTTTTGGTTTTTTAAGCCTATGGACGTCTGTGACATTTTTCGAAATGTTGAGCGTACAAGTACGTGCGGCTTGCCCACAAACGTGCGGAAAAATAAATCAATTTATGAATGAAAAAAATGCCCTAGGGCTAATTATTAACCGGTTAAGAAATAGCAATAGCTAATTTTAGTTTAATAAAATTAAATTTTATTTGGCATTTTATTTGAATCAAAAAATTCTACAATTAAATTCGACAGCGATATTTAAATATTTTTAAAAATAAATACATTATATATCATCGGCTCTATATAAAATATCAAATTACAACGTATATCATTTAATTTTTCAACAATTTTCTAACTTGTTACCTTGAGCATTAGTATTTTACTTGCAATATAATATTAAGCCTAAATTTTAAAAAACAATATTTTACAGTTTTAGAACATAATTCTTTAATTAAAATTTGAATCATTTTTATTTAGTTTTTAAATCGCGATTTAACTCAAAAAAATTCACGATTTTTGCAAACCCTAATTTATTGACATCAATAATTATTTAATTAAACATTTATTTAACTTTTTATTTTAAAATCTACTCACAAAAGTATCAAAATGTTAACCAAAAAAATTTTGCCCCCCTTTCAGCGAAATTTGAAGTTCCAGGTGATATTTACTAAAAATGAGGTTTTTTAAAATTAATTATGAATACTAAAAAAGAATTAAAGTGGGACCCTTGGTAACTTCATAAAATAGATAAAAAGGAGTTTAAAAAATAACCAATAATTTTTTAGACTCATAGATGAATTAATTTATTTAATTAGACTTCATATTATTAAAATATATTTTTTAATAAAAAATAACATGCAACGTTTCTATCTAACATCAATAAAGAAAAATCAATCACTAAAAAGAATTTCTTCACCTAAAATACCAGAAATTTCAACTTATATTTAAAAAATATCTTATGAATCATTTCACCTATAAAATAAGACATCCAATCTAAATTTTTCGCCGGCCTCCCCCTCCCCATTACCTTTAAATATTTTATATGAATAAGTTATAGAAGATTAGTTTATAATTATTTTAGTAATTACATTCATCAAGCTCTTTAACTATAAAAAAAATCACAAAGAAAAATGAATCCAAAAAAGTCGGGCGAAACGTAATCCACACGGTAGCAAGTAAAGGCCCCCTAGTTATTTTTTTTAAATTAGGCTTTCTTACCGTAAAATTATATTTCACAAATGAGAAATTTTATGTTAAGTCATATATCACATAAATTCGTTAAAGGGATCTGGAAATCCACTAGATTTCGAAATGTCTTAATTCTCAGGATGATTTTTAAATTTGAAAATAGCGTTATTAAACGGCTCGAATTTGAAAAATTGCCAATCCAATATTTTAGCTAAAAAATATTAATAGATGGCAAAAAGGTTTGGATATCTTATATACGCTCAAGGCTTGCGGGATATTATTTTGGCGAAAAGTTTAATTTTAAGCAATACTAATTGGAAAATTGGATTTGACCGAAATGTAATAAATATAAAATTTAAAAATAGTAGGCAAATTCAGTGTGGTTTGATACTGTATACTAGAGGTCTGCATGAGCGGGCTATAAGATTTTGAACATTGGGCAGGTGAACCAGATTAAAAAATATTTTTAAAAATGGGGGTGGGGGAGGGAATTTGAAACATTGTTCTGGCAAAATGAGCAGAACAGACTTATTTTGCATTCACAGTTAGCGCAAATTCGCGGATGTATAATTTGCCGCGAATTAGCTCGAACTATGAATGAGGACTTATTTTAAGTTTAATTTAAAATACATAAAATAAAATATATTAAATACCAAATAATTCTTAAATAATGGGCGGGCGGGAGTTTAGGTTAAGCCCGGTCCATTGTAGACCTCTACTCTATAGATTAATAAATTTCTGGTCAAATCAGATATTTTAGCAGCTCTTCCTTCAGTAAAGGTGTTCAGAATACACGTGGATTCCCTGGTACCGAGTTAATATATAAAAAATTTTTTAAAAATATGGCGATATAACAGTTTAAATAATTACTTCATTTGTTTGACAATCGTACTCTTTCCAGACTCCCCAGCGCCTAAAAAAATTTTTTTTTTCAAAAAAAAATAAATGAATATGGTTCATAAATCATATATATAACTTTTATGAAGTCAAAATTAATACGAATTAATTTGGCAAAAATAAGTGGGGATCGAATGTATGAAGATGATTGATTATTGTATAGACTTATATTTTATATTTATAATATGTAGAAAATGATGTACAGGTCACCATATGGCTTGGCTAACAACAAATAAATTATTTTATTAAAAAAGGCCCATTTCGTAATCTTTTTCAATTTCAGTGCGTATCGATTAAACTTTTATGAGGTTTATTTAAAAAGATACTGATCGAATCAATATTAAAATTATTAATCAACCCCCCCCCCCACCCCTGCTAAAAATATTATAGAACTCAACTTTGCTTAACGAGACGTCTAGTATTGTTATAAAGCCCAATTTATGATTAACATATTCGCTAAAATAATATTATCTAAGCCTCGAGATTTGGAAAATAGAGGTCCAGACCTTTCAGCCATCTATGAACAGCTAAATCTCCAAGCTTACATAATATTATTTTGGATAAAATCTTAATCGGGCAGTTTTAAAAATAGCCCCAAATCAGATATTTTTAACAACTCTAGGCCCACCCCCCTTGTTATTCTTTTATCGATAAAAAAGAAAATTTTATACCCATGAAATTGAGAAGAAAAAAGCTTAAATTTTTTTTATCGAGTTAATCGTTTCTAAAACAGCTTAAATGGAGCGATTTTGCAAAATCATGGGTATAAAATTTTAGTTTTTAATGATAGATATCAAAATCTAAAATAAGATGGAAAGAAACAATAATAGGAATAAACTGGAATTGAGGAGTAAAAAAAGTAATTTTAAATTGGTATATTATGTGATAAATTTTATGATTTAAATTTTTAACAAAATAAAGAAGTTCAAAATGTGGGGATTCGAGACTGAGTAAATGTGCCGAATGCCCAGCTAATCAAAAATTGTGATCCAGTAAAATACAATAACAAACATATTGCTATTAAATGATACATTTTTAATTAGAGTAATTTAAAAGATTCGGTTTATATTTATTCATTATAATAAACTATAAATAAGCAGTCTTTTCTTTTTGTAAAGTTATTCCATTCTGGCAAATGTTCGGTTCGGTTTGGGAAAAAAACAACCACCCTTCCCCCCCCCCCACCACCCAAAAAAAAATTAAATAGGGTTTATAAAAAATAATTTTAAAATGACTATTTAAAGATCAATTTTTTTTAGCTAAAATGTTCGATAAAAATCATAAGCGAAATTCTATAAAATCACAAGGATAAAGTGAAAAATCCTATATTATTAAAAAAAACAAAGATGTTTTTTTCCAAAAAGAAATATAGGTTATTTAAATAATCCGAAATAAATTGTTAAAGAGATGACGTCTTCAAACTAGCTTACCTCAATTTATTTAAAAAAAATAAATGATAAAATATTGAATAAATTTTTTTTGGCAACATTATCATATCCTTTTATTTTTTGAATTTACATTGATTTTATAAATTTTTTAAAAAAAGTGACCTATGAAAATAATTCAAGTAATTAATACAAGGTTATTAAAAAAAATGTAAGATAATCCAGTAAATAATTTGGTAAAACCAAACCGAGCTCGCTCTTAAAAATCTGGCGAAATTTCCCTATCGGGTCATAAAACAATCATTCTTTTAAAGAAATTCGCTTGCAAGAAAATATTTGAAAGATCCAACCGGTTTTCTATAGAACCGGGCAGAGTTGACTCTTTAAGATCAAATGGCATTCCAGTTTCGAATCCAATATAAAAATATTAGGTATTCAACCGTATAAAAAATAAAAACAACCAATCGTAAAAATGGATTGCCGAATATATTAAACCCGAATTTACTTTTTATCAGAGACCCGCAAGAAATAAAAAATTTTAGGCCCGGCCAATTTGAAACAAATTTTCATTAGCCCTGAATTTCTTAAGGGAAATTGAAAAATAGGAGGAAATAAATAAATATTAAACGTTTCGTTATACGATTTTTCAACTAATTAATGGAGATTATCTAACTTTTTTTCTTAAAATTGATCAGGACAGGATTCTTAATTTTTAAAAAAAAATAAATTATTAAGTCCTCCAGTTTCCATTTAATTATATACCCTTTTTTTTGACCCGTTCGATGAATGCAGGTATCTGTTTTTAATGCATATTTCAAATTAAATCACATTGTATAAAAAATTTGCTAACTTTAATGAAGTACCCACTCCCAGTTATGATATATGATTGTTAGAATTAATAAAATTTAAAAAAAATTAATTAATATTTTTAAGATAAATAATTCTCAAACATATTTTTTTTTATAAGATGATTATAAACTTTTATCCCCTTTATTTAATTATATTATCGTTTGACCTCAAAAAACAAAAAATATTAATTTGATACAAATTCAAATAAGTGCCTAATGAAGTTAGGGAATTCTCGCAAAAATGTCATTTAACATCTAATGAAGGGAGATGTAATTATTCAAAAAAAATAAATATATAATCCAACTGATTAACCCTTTAATTATTAATATTTGTATTTGGTATAAAAGTATTAGGCATTTTTTTAAAAATTATAATTGGATTATCTTTTCCACAATTATTTAATCATTAATATTATTATATTTAACCTCGTGGCTTCTACGCCCTCCTAAGCTGCTAATTACCCATAAACCCTACCCTCAGCCTCTAGCTCTAAAATGTTTGTATCCACCCCGTGTCAGATGGGAAAGGGGGGGGGGAGGAGGAAATAGCAACCCTAAATTTAAAAAAAATTTTCATGTTATTTTTTACCTTAGCACTTAAATTTATTTTAATTTTTTTGAGCAAACCTAAATTATCTAGCTCTAAAATGTTTGTATCCACCCCGTGTCAGATGGGAAAGGGGGGGGAGGAGGAAATAGCAACCCTAAATTTAAAATAAATTTTCATGGTATTTTTTACCTTAGCACTTAAATTTATTTTAATTTTTTTGAGCAAACCTAAATTATTTAGCTCTAAAATGTTTGTATCCACCCCGTGTCAGATGGGAAAGGGGGGGGGGGAGGAGGAAATAGCAACCCTAAATTTAAAATAAATTTTCATGGTATTTTTTACCTTAGCACTTAAATTTATTTTAATTTTTTGAGCAAACCTAAATTATAAAAAAATAGATTTAAAGATATCTAATTTAAATGGTAAAAGCCAGTGACTGAAATAACTACCATTGAAACCACAAATAATTAAATATAATGACAAATGGCACCATAAAAACATGACAATTAAATAACTTTTTATTTGGCTTAGCAAATTTGCGTTCATGGTTAGCCTATTCAAAATTCGTTTTGTTTTCACTTCGAATAAACACAATTACTAAAACGAATTATTCGATAATTTGTTCTTAAATATTAATAAAATTTTAAAAAAATAATGGAGTTATATAATGTTTATATCTTCATAGTTTTCTTTACACCATTTAGAAAACCTTTTATTCTACATTTACCCACCTTTTTTGAATTTTAATCACAAATTATAAACAAAAATCAATATTTCAAACCAAACTAAAGGTAAATTATCACATAAAAGCCTAGCATACCTAATCATGGGTAATATAATAACTGATATTAATGAACCTTGATCCAGTTGGCAAAAAAACCCCCTAAAAAGAGGTTATTTGGTGAATTTGCATCGCTAATTTTAAATACCTAATTTCGAAAAATAGTTACTTTTTAAGTTTAATTAACCACAATATCATTGCCTGGAGGGAGTTTTCATTATCAATAAATACGTAGAAAATAGGCTATTATTTAACAGTCTAGATTTAAATATATGTGTGATGATATCGAATATCAGTAACAAGTAGAACAGATCTAGGGACTATTGAAGCCTCAGTGTCAGTAGTATACCGTTTTATAATCATAAATTTTACAGATTATCATTATAATTTAGTTAAAATTTATCTGTTAATAAAAATTATATCACAATTTAAAATGAAAAATATTAAAATGATTTTTTTACTGAAATTTTTTTAGCATGTAATTCTAATAAAATATAAAATGCTTCTGATTCTTCATTAGGACTAGTGTTGCAAAACGCCTCGATTTGAGCCAATTTTTAAAAATGGCTAAATCAATATTTTATTAAGAAAAATATTATGTAAGCCTGAAGATTCTGCGTTGGCCAAAGGTCTGGATATCTATTAGCGAAATTTCGAGGCTTAGACAATATTTTTCTGTCTAAAATATTGATTTAACCGTTTTTAAAAATCTGCTCAAATTGAGCCATTTAACAACATTAATAAGGAGTAAATCAGGTATGACGTGGTTCAAACTTGATTTCTCTTGACTGGAATTGGGAGAATAGTTTTAAAAAAATGTATTCGAATTTAAATACAATATAAAATTCATATTCGAAAGATGTATTTTAAATATAAACATAAATATCTAACATAATACTTTCTCAAAATAAGATTTAAATATAAATCCTTTGATGAATGTTTTTTTGGAAATAAATTTCATAACAGAGCTAAGCTTGGCTCTCTCATATTAAAAGAAAATGGCTTAAGTAGGAAATTTGCAGGGAAAATAAATTCCCAGTCATAGATGTATTTAAAACTATATGATTGACATTAAGTAATATAAAATATCATCTGAGAACACAGTTTTTTTTTTACTAATTACAGAGAATATTCAAAACATTTTTTTAACAAAAGAGACATTTCCGAGCCCAATCCTGAGCCTTCTTCTTGGGTTCCAGTGATACTATCCATGAACTAACTAAAAATGCTTAATCCTTTTCGCACTTATATGAGAAATCTCTAAAAATAGTCTTGCCTGATATATGTCCTTATGAAATTTGAAGTTTAAAATTAGTTTAATTTAATTATATATCTCAGAGACCTGTAGCCCCTATCCGGGTATTCGAAAACCGCATAAACTTTTTCTGAAATAAACCCGGACCGGGCCTAACAAATACACACATTTATTGAAAAATCTCCTTATTCAGAATAATAAAAAAATTTCTTGTCTTATTTCAACCACCATTTTTTTAAAAAATAAACAGTGTTTCGTATATTTTTAAAATAAAACCAGCAACAAAAATTAAAATCAATTTTTTTTCGAACACCACCGCCAAAGTAGTATAAAAACCTAAAATGAAAGAAAAATAATCTCTAAACCGGAAATTTTGTTAACCACTTAAAGGCGTAGGCGATTTGCCAACAAATTATTTATCTTAAAACTCAATTTTTTTCGTAGCAATTACGTAATGTAGGGTTTTGGTTACATTTTCCGAAAGGTTTAAAGCCGACTCCAAAAACCGGGTAAAACTGGCTTTTAGCCCACTAATGACCTCTTTAGATTTTAACCTAAAAATAGTTCAATCTTGAGAAAATCCGGGATAAAAATCAAAGCGACTCAAGACTTTAGGTATGTGTTTTTTAAAATATTATATTTCTCGTGAAACATTAAAAGACAAACCGATAGAATTCAATTTTAAACGGTAGAAAACATTTTTAAAACCAATAGATGGCCGAAATTGTTCGATAACACTGGTCACTGCAAACCTCCTTAGATTGTGTTCTTGTTTGACTTATATCTTGATACTTACTGATGTTTAATTTAGACTAAACAGTTCTTGAAAAGACACCCTATTTTAGTTTGCTTTAAGTGTTTGGTGGTATTGTTTTTTTCCTTTCGGTTTTTTCCCTCTTATTTTTTAGGCCGTTTAGTCCAAGCGATATAGTCGGCTAAACAGCCGGCAGTTTAATGAGTGGAACTAGGACAGGCATATTTTAAGAAAATCCCACGATACTTTAGTTAATTAATAACCAATTTTTTTACATTTTTTAATATATAAAAACAGTAATAACGAGAGAAAAATGAATGCTAAATTACCCTACGGCATAATCTAATTATCTTAAAAAAAGTCTTTATATATATATATATAAATAAAAAATTTCTAATAAACTTTATATTTTAAAAACAAAATATTGATTTTATTTCTAAAAAAAAGATTTTAAATTTTGTATAATAATACATATTAATATAAACTGTAATTTATTAGAATCAAAGTTATATTAGTTTATTTCGGTCATAAATTATACGACCGTTATTAACATATAAATAAAATACATAATATATCTTATAAATATATCTCTGAATATGAATTATGTAGTATTATTGAAAGTTTAAAAAAACATTTAATTTACCCTGCGTTCACAGTTTTATACTAATTTTTGTATACTTCCCCGCGAATTCGTGCTCACTGTGAATACAGGGTTATGGAAATTTCGGTATGTATAGAGTGCAAAATTAAATTTTTTTAAAAATGATAATCTTATCTGTGTAGTGCCATTACACAACATTTATTGACCCGTTCCAGCATGCGCATGCTGACATCTCTGAGAAATAATCATCTGTTCGAATTTTAAATTCGCTAGAGGAGAATCATTAGAAAATAATTTGGCAAGAGAGAAATTAACTTTAACAACAAAGTCACGTTCATTTCTTATATTGAATTTTATTATAATAAAACGATTATAAATCGTTACGGCCCGTAAAAAATCTCCCAAAAGGTTTATCAGACTTACCCGTAAAATATATATTACAAATTTCCCCGGCTCCAATTCAAAAATTATTATGTTTTATTTTAAAATTAAATATTAGGTTAGCAGAGTGTACTTGACTGGCTGCCTAAATCTACAGGGTGAAGAAAATCTGCTAGTCATTGAGGTTCAAGTTAATTTTTCAAAAAAGACTGAGAGTAAAATGATAGAAGGTAATAACACAATTTAGTGATAGTGAGTTAAAACGAATAAGTTAAAGAAGGGCTGAAACAGGAGTAAACGCCTATTATCTAAGATATACCATCACTGGAAAGCGTCGCGTCTTGAAAATAAAGGAAAGGGCAGGACGGAAGTTAAACGTTCTCTTAGTTATTTCTTTTTATTTAATGCAATTTATATTTTAAAAAAATTTTTTTTATAAATTTATTTCATGATTTATAAAAATATATTCCGATATCTATCTTCTTATACAAATAAAGAGAAAGTATTTTATGTCACGTTCAACTAGTATTTTATTTAAAATAAATAAATATTTAATACAAAGTTCGAACTATGCCATATGTGTTCGAATTACGATATCTGTGATCGAATTGGGGTATTTTTGTGTTCGAATTATGGTATTTGTGTTCAAATTGGGGTATTTTTGTGTTCGAATTATGGTATTTGTGAAATTAGGGTATTTTTGTGTTCGAATTGGGGATGTCGTTACCGTAACGTCCGGGAAGATTAGGATTAATCAAGCCTATTCAAAAACGAATATAAATTGAATAATTAACTATTCGTATATTCGTAACAGGAATAATAAAATTTATTATTATCTATTCAGTTTAAATTATTTGAAAAATTTTTTATTCTTTTTTAAAAAAAATATTATAAAATAATTTCAGATAAAAATAATAGAACATCAAGTTATTAATGAAATTAAAAAAACCATATTAATTTAAATTAATGCCAAGCCAATTTTTAAGGCAGAGTTTTTTTTTATTATATCATTTCCTCTATATAACATGCCATCTTTTTGGCAGCAAATTAGTTCCAACTAAGAAAAGTCTTCACAAGCAGTTGATATGTACCTGTCAGGATAGTAAGCGAATTATTCAAATAAATCGAATAATTCTTTATTCAAACAAAACGAAAAATAACTATTTGTATTCGTTACCATTTGATTCATTTTTGAATAAGAGCCTAGGGTTAATTAAGTAGTCATTTTAGTATTGCAGAAGTAAAAACGACTGTCAGATAGATAGAAAGCGAACTCTTGAATCGGATAATCTTTATTCGTATTCGAACAAATAACTATTTGTATTCTTTACCATTTGATTAGTTTTTTGAATGAGTAAGTTAGTAGCCATTTTGGCTAAATTACAGAAGTAACAACATAATTAGTCCAAACCGGATTAATAGTGGTAATTAAAATTAATTAATAAGCCTAGTTTTCAGATCATAAACAGTTAGCATGAATTAGAGGCAAAGTCTGTGAAATATGTTGTATTTTCATCGCTAATTGTGAATGCATGGTAAGAGGTATGAATTTAATATCGCCTTATAAAAAATCAATTTATTTTTTGCATATTAAATTAATTATTTATTTTAAAATTATTTAACTTTTTATAGCCTAATAAATAACAACGTTTGTACAAGGCCAGCTTTAAATTTCAAAACAGTAAAAAAAAAGGAAGATGGAATGGATGGAATGAATTAGTAATACTACTCGTGTTCTTCTAGTTCGAATTTAAATATTTTGACATCTTTGACGATATTTAGTTATTGAATGATAAAATATAAATAAAATATCGTGCTCATGTATCAATCGATTTTTTTATAGGATGGTGTTGATTTGCTAGAGCATTCAATTACATTATTATGATCAGGGATAATACAATAATGTTCCTCATATAAAAAAGATTAAAATTTTTGGTATATATTCTTTTTAAATTGAAATTTGACAGTCCATTTCCTGTTAATATATTCTAGGGCTGTGCCGATATTAAATATCAGATTGGGGCCGATATTTTGTGTTTTTTTTAATATAGGATCGGTCCTATATTTTGAAAAAGCTACGATATTTTCATTGTTTTTGGTAATTTTATGATTGTATATATAATTATTTTTTATACATAATTAATTTCATAATAATTAATTTATAAAAGTAACCAAAATTCAATTTATTTATTAATGTTTATAAAATATCTAATTTTACATTTTAAAATAAATGATGTTACATTATCTGTAATAAGAAAAGGATTTTAAAATATTTAGCGGGTTATATTCAGTTAGTGTTGTAAACAACTCGTTTAGCCGATTTTTTTAAAAAATGGCTAAATTAAGATTTCAGCCAAAAAAAATAAACTAACCTTGGAAATTTTGTCAACAGATGATAGAAAGGGTTGGATATCTTAGAGGTCTGCAATTGGCTGGTTTTTAGCCCACCCCCCCCCCCATACTTCGCGCAGCTGTGGTCGGGGTTTCTAAAATATTTTCAACATTGACGGATAGTGGGCGGGTTAAAATTTTTTTTAAGTAATAAGAAGGTGTGGGCGGATGAATTTGTAATATTTTTTCAACCGAAATGAGCAGTCAATTTATTAAAAATAATAGTTTTATTTCATAAATATTGCATATACATTAAAATAAATAAATAGAGCCAAACCAGCCATTAAAATATTTTTAAACATTAGGCGGGCGGGTTAAACAAAATTTATAGATAAATGGGAGGGTAATTTTTTTTAAAAAATTATAAGTGGAAGGAAGGCGGGTTAGAAAAATTCCAAAAACAACGATTGGGCGAGCTTTTTGGCTTAAAACCCGCCCATTGCAGACCTCTATGACATCTATTGGCGAAATTTCAAGGTATAGGTAATAATATTTTAGCAAAAATCTTGATTTATTACAAATAGGCAAAATCAAGGCATTTAAAAACACCACATATCTATAAACATTACCCATATTTAGGCCTACAAAAAAAACGAATCGAATAATACTATTACTCGTATTCGAATCGAATAATTGCGCTATTCGTATTCGTACGAATAATAAAATCTCGTACGAATAATAAAATCTTTATTCGTTTCGATTCGTCGAATATTCGATTCGATTCGAAAATTTTTATAAAGCTTATAAAAAATATATAATTTTTTTGCAAAAAAATTATAAACAGATATAATGTTTTAAGATGACATTTTTAAGGATTCTCTCAACAACAATTTACAGAAAATAAACGAAATAAAACCAAATGATTTCATATAACGTTATCCAAACAAATTGGCAAAAAACGTCCGATTTATAGATTAGAATTGCTTATAAAAAATATTTAAATTATTTCTTCAATCTAATATACAAATTTTATTAAAATATTCTGAAAATATACAATAATTTCATTTTATAAACATCAAAATATAATACACAAAAAATATAATTATAGTATATCTAAATTTGTTAATAACCAATTTTTTAAACATAACGTCTTTCTTATAGTATCCTGTAGAGACATCATATTCTTAAGTTCCTGGCAGATAAATAACTAAATTTTGACTAGTTCTTATTCTTTGATTAGGAAAATTCTTTTCCCATTTAGTAACCTTATTTTTTATCAAATTTTAAAGTAAATCATCTAATTCAGATAGTGTATCATAATCACTATCATAAAATCTTCATCACTATTAATTACATTGCCATAATCACTAACAATAATATTTTAAAGTTTTAATTGCAGTGGTTTAGCCAGAAATCTTAACACTAAAAATGATTAAATAAAGAGGAAGTATCAAAATAAAATAATTATATTTTTGTTTACTTTGGGTTTGGGGCTTTTCCTTTTCTTCCATTAAAATTTGACAGCAATTAATATAAGTTATGGATTTGATAAAGATAATAGGAAATAAAATAAAATGATATCCACTAGGAATATTTAATTACTTCTTTTTTTATTATACTTACAACAATTTACAAATACAAATAAAATATTTGCGAAAAATTACGAATATATATATATAAATAATTTCGAATAATTTTCCTCATTATTCATATTCGATTCGAAATTTCGAATCGAATAATTGTGCTATTCGTATTCGTAAAATACGAATCGAATCGATTCGAATAACAAATAATTCGTTTTAGGCCTACCCATATTTTAAATGAGATTATTAATTTTTGGAGAATAAAAAAACTTAATCCTTCATGAAATTTTTTTTTGAGTAGAAAATTAATTTTTTTTTATGACATTGGTTCAAGGATAGATGGTATATAAAATTCAATATAAATATCGGATCGGTTATAAAATCGTGTTTGTATTTGTAGTTATATCGGAGGGATCGGTGAAAAATTTGTAGATCACAACAGCGCTAATTATATTTTTATTTATTTATTTTTATAAAAATGGGATCAGCTGATTACGATGGCAGTCCATCATCAACATGATATCGGAAAAATTGGATCAGCCCTTTTAAAAATTTGAAATTCGGCACACCTCTATTTTTAAAAAGAATAATGAAAAAAATAATAACAAAATTTTAATTCCAAATTTTATGGCTTTTAAAATTAAAATTTTTTTTTGAAATCAAAAAAGATATCGGTTATAAAAAAAAATACTTAATTAGCCAGTCATAAATTTTAACACAAATTTAACATTTTTTTTCCAATAATAAATGATAATATTATAAAAGGATATAAATAAACTAAAAAAATAATGAATCGTTTCTTCTTCTTTCCTTTTCGCAATTTATCTGTCCCTCACGATTTAATGTTTTATTTAATGCAATTGGACACTGCAAAAAATAATGAATTTTTTTTTAAAAAAAATGAATGTATTATCATAAATCTTTTTTTTTGTATAACAAATAAAGTATAAAATAGAAATCTCTTCCAACCCCCCAAAACAAAATATCTGCCTAAGTAACTACCGTAGTTTGGTACTGTATAATTTTATTTAAAGTAAACCATTTGTTAATAAGCATTCTAATCTGAATAAATAAAACAAAAAAATTAGGAACAGATCAGGAATACTAGTTTTAATAAATTAATCTACAATCTCTAATTCAAGATTGTGTGGTATTGTACAACAAAAAATTTATCATTTAAACAAATATATTATATTTTAATTTAATTATTCATCTCACTATAATTATTGATAATTAATATAATATATATATTAATAATGTTTTTTAAGTTTTTCATACAATAATATTGACATAAAAATAATCTTTAACAAAAATATAATTAAATTAAAATATTTAACAGATTGCAGGAAAATCAATAAATGATCAAAAATGGGATCTATATCCAAAACAAATTATATTACAAAAAAAGTTTTGAACAATTATCACAAAATTTAAGCAAATAAAAATTTGTCTATTTTTCTTTCATCACTTTCTGAATCGGTGGTACAAACTCAAGGGAAGTATGAAGGATGATTTATATATATATATATATATATGCATTCTGTGTCCAAACTAAATTGCTAGAACTTCCTTTTTTGAAATAGTGCAGATTGAATAATTTTGGGGAAAAATTATAATGCATAACATTACCAAAAATGATCATTTGAAATTTGGGAGATTTAAATTAGGGCTGTGCCCATATTAGATATCGGATCGGCACCAAGATCTTACGTTTTTAAAAAATGTCGGATTGGGCAGATATTTTTTATTGTTTTTTGTTTATTTTAAGATTATATATATAATTATTAATTTATTTATATATTATATGGGGGTTTACCAATTAATACTTCTTGGAAGGCGATAGGCAATACTTTCAGGCTAAAATATTGAGCTAACCGTTTTTAAAAATTTGCTCAAATGAGCATCACTATATAGATCTACTCATCTCGTATACTTTTTAATATTATAACATCTATCCTTTTAACTATAGCAAAACATAAGTCATTTAAATGTTATAATGATCTTTATAGACTATATTCATGAATCTAAAAGTATATAAAATATTATTATTGATAAATCACTTATTTATATAATAACATTAATCTATTTACATAATCTTTTAAAATAATTTGTTTTTAAATTAAGACGCCATTTTATTGGATCGGATAGGAAAATTTTCAAATATCGGTCAATAACCGATATTTTACAAAAGATGAAATATAGGGCCGATCCGAACAGATAAAAAATATCGGTACATCCCCAGAAAAAAAAATACTATTTATTTGTTACAATATTTAAAAAAATAGTTAAAATTTTGCACTATTTTTTTTGTTATATTATCTGCAACATGATGCAAAGGATTTTAAAATATCTAAAGAATCACAATCAGCTAGTGTTGTTAAACGACTCGATTTAGCCAATTTTTAAAAACGTTTAACATTATTCAAGCTTATTGATTTTACCCACAGATGGCAGAAAGATTTGCACTTCTATTAGCGAACAAGCTTATTGATTTTACCCACAGATGGCAGAAAGGTTTGTACTTCTATTAGCTAAATTTAGAGGCATTAAGTAATAATATTTTGTGAAAATCTTGATTCAGCTCCTATAAAAATAGGCTAAATGGAGCTGTTTAACATCATATTTAAAATGAGATTATTAACTTTTGGAGAATAAAAAAATAAAATGCATTTATTAATTATTCGTGAAAGTTAAGTTTTTTTTATAAAAATAGAAATTATTGATATTTTATGATATTGATATAAAGATGGTAAATAAATTTTTTTAGTAATATCGGATTGGGGAAAATTTGTGAATCGGGACAGCCCTATATAAAACTAATTCCTCCTCGTTATTAAGATTTGATTTGACATAATCTTCCATTAAAAATGTTTATGATAAGTATGGTGGTAAACATCTTATTGTATGCCCTCTCATTTCTATCGATTCCCTAATTTTATAGTTTTGATGAAATGGAATATTATCCATCACAAAAATCATTACTCTTCAAAATGATTTGGTATTTCATTTACAAAGTGACTAAAGTTTTAGCGTTGTAGAAGCCAAAAATAAATCGTTTAGAATAGCTGTCATAGTATAATTCATTGTCTTTCCATTGGACCTTTTTATTTTATTTATGAATATCCATATAACTGTCATAATAATTTCATATCAATGGATAAAGTGCAATCCAAATTTATAAAATTAGTATATATTCCTCTTCTTCTTGATTTAATTTTGCATGCATATGAGTCTCCTTTAGATAAACTATTTTTTCATTTTTGTGATGGGAGTATTTTACATTTATCAGTTAGCTTATTTTAAAACATGAAGATATATTATGATACTATCCATTTAACGCGTCAATTATTAGAGAAAATATTTTAAAAATAAATTTGATTGCCAAAGAGATATAAAAATTAAATGAAATTTAAAAAATAAAAATATATGGAGAAAAAAATCAAAGAAAGTAATAAAAATTGTAATCTAGAATGAAAAACGGGAAAAGAATTGTTAAAAATGACATAAAAATAGAGAAGTGAAGAAAAATGACAATGAAAATAAAAATTATTTTTAAAAACAAAAAATAATGATCAAATAGGAAGATATAAAAATATGAGAAAAGATAAGAAAAATAAAGATTAAAAAATGTCTTAAAAAGATCGCAAAAAGTTAGAAATAAAATAAGAAGTAAAAATTAAAAAAAACAAATAAAAATATAAGGAGAAAAAAATAATAAAAAGTCAAAAAATAAGTTATTAAAAATGGCATAAAAATAGAGAAGTGAAGAAAAATAAAAATTAATTTTAAAAAACAAAAAAGAATGATCAAAAATGAGAAGATAAAAAATTTAAGAAAAGATAAGAAAAATAAAGATTAAAAAAAGATTAAAAAATGTCTTAAAAAGATCGCAAAAAGTTAGAAATAAAATAAGAAGTAAAAATTAAAAAAAACAAATAAAAATATAAGGAGAAAAAAATAATAAAAAGTCAAAAAATAAGTTATTAAAAATGGCATAAAAATAGAGAAGTGAAGAAAAATAAAAATTAATTTTAAAAAACAAAAAAGAATGATCAAAAATGAGAAGATAAAAAATTTAAGAAAAGATAAGAAAAATAAAGATTAAAAATGGCTTACACAAAAAATTAGAAATAAAATAAGATGAAAAAATAAAAATACGAAAAATTTATAATTTTTTATTAAAATATTTTTAAAAAATAAAAAAACGAAAAATTTATAATTTTTTATTAAAATATTTTTAAAAAATAACAATTTTTCTTTTTTGATTGGACCTTTTCCTTTTATGATCGAACTTTCTCCTAAGTCTATGGGACTTTTCCTTTATTGATTGATACCTTTTCTCTTTTGAATTGGATATTTTCCTTTATTATTTGACACTTTTCCTTTTTTACATGGGAAATCCTATAAATTAAAAAATGTTCCTTCATTTGTGCAAACCTTGAATCAATTTTTAAAAAAGTGCTAAATTAATTATTTAGCCAATAAAATTTGACCAGAAACTTAAAGATTTTGGTAAAAGTTGACAAAAGAATTTGGCCCTCCTTTGGTAAAATTTTAAGGATTTGGTAATATTTTTGATTAAAATCTTGATTTTGATTTCCATTAAATTGGTTTTTAACAACAAATATGTATGGGATTGAGAGAATTATTTAAAAATATTCTTCTACTACTTCTAAATTATGTGAAAGAAGGGCATGGGTGTAAGTCAGGGCATGCAAATATCATATTTATAAAGATCTGCTTCACCTTTGAACTCAATGACATTTATGAAATTCATTAACATTTAATTCATTACAGAGATTTTCAAGATGACAACTAAATCATATTTTGAAAGAAAGTTAGGTACTATTATCAAATTTAGTAAGGCAACTTCCTATTATGAGATTACTTTTTCAGGTCATTCTAAGATCTCACTCTATTTAATTAAAATAGGATACTCTAACCATAAAAAATATATTAATTTTCTATATTTTGGGGCTTGTGAGAGGGGGGATTTATCCCTCTGCCTCAATGGTTAAAAGCATGTAACAAATTTTTTAAACAATAGAAAATATATTAAAATTATAAGCAAATAAATGCATCTTTTTCTTGTTAAATAAGCAGTTTCTATATATTATATATGTAATCCTTTTCAATAATTATTAGATTAAAAAATAATAAATGTTTAAATTACAAGCTGCTCAGATAACTAAAACTTTTGTTTAATTTTTAACAATTTACTGTAAAAAAAGTATAAAATCAAATAATCGATGATTCCTAATCTCATATTGATAAAATTTGTTAAGTTTTAATAAATACAAGTATAATAAACCTAGAAGTAAAAGTTTCACTTCTCTTGAAGCCTTCTCGCCATCTGCTTTAAGATTTCTATCAATTTGGCGAGATCGTTCAACAGCTGCTTTTTCATCATTATTTGAAAATACGCAACCCATAAATGTATAAAATGCTTGTTTTAATGGAAGACTTCAGTTTATTTGATTTAATAATTATATATATTTTTTAAAAAATTTAATGCGAAATTTAAAATAAATTTATTGTAGTGTTTGTGTCATAATGTTATTAAAAATAAATAAAATTATATTTAATTTGAAAACTAATATATAGTACATTTATTTTAAAAAAAAATTGTTTATATAAAGGTAATTATGTAATGCCGTAGTTTTATAAAAATTGATAATATATATCTTAATTTTCTTATTTTATTCTCATTTATATTATATTATTTATTAGTATATGAATCTCATGATGAACCCTAGCTATCGAGAGGATATGGAGTATCTGTCCACCCCACCCCCTCTAAAAAATATGGCTCATATGCGTAACCTTTAAATTTGTGTTTGATTCAAATAATTTATAAAAAGTTAATAATTCCACAAAAAATATTGGCCTCCAAATAAACTCTTGTCCCTTAAATTAAAGCTTCCTGACTATGGGCCTGCATAAACTTTCTATATTCGTGATCGCGACTGTAAATTAGTTAAAAAATCATAGCGAGTCTTAAAGATTTGTTTAAATTTAAAGTACATTTTATTTATAGGCGTAGCCGGGAGGGGGGGGCAAGGGGAAATTCCTCACCCCTTCAGAAATTTATGACTTTTTGTGAATATCATTTTAAGCTAATAAAAAATATCCCCCTTAGTCCTCCCCCCACTCACTGACCCCCAAAAATGAATGCATATATCTTAAACAATAATTTGAAAGAAAGAATGTAAAAGTTGATATTTTTTTATTAAACTATTCATCATAATTTATACATTTTTGGAAAAAAGCATTTATATATAAAAAAAGTGAACCAAAATTTTTTTTAAGAAATGAAATATAAGCCAAAGATAAGTCTTAAGATAAAAGTGAAATGTATTATAATTATTAATAATAGATCCATAAAATTACTAAATAATATAATATATCAAATATAATTTTTTATAAAGTGATTAATTTTAATTTATTTATCTTAATAAAAGTAAAATGTAATTATAAAACTATTGATAAAATTAAATCAAAAATTAAATATAAAAATTAAAGCACAATACAAACAGTTGAATATTATATGTCGTAGATTTACAGTATATCTAATTTAATCAATTATCATATGACAATTAAGTAATTTTTATCAATTTAGCGAATTATGTATTTTACAGAAAACTATAAAATATTGATAAGGACATCAGAAAATATCTTTTAAAGATATTGTGGGATGAATAATATGGAGATTAATTTTTAATATCTATTTTATTTAATATAAATAGATGGCGTTAAATAATTTAAATTGTAGCTATATTTATTATCAAGAGCATTGATTAGTGTTAAACGTGGATCTATATATATAATTATTTTATTTATACTAATTGTTATATAGCGCAAATTTTTATATGTCGCATTCATTTTATTAACACAACTGTTAACTTAATGATATAATTTTCTTTAAATCATTTGAGTTTTTTTATTTAAATTTAAGATCTGATATTACAGGAATATCACATTTGGGATACTTATTCTATTAATTTCATATAATTGTGCCCTGAATCTTTGAACTTAATATAATTTATAAAAGTTTTACCATAGATTTTTTAGATAAATCCTAAATGACTCAAATGTTAACGACGAGTATATTATTTTTTCATAGATTTTTTATATAAATTACAAATAACTCAAAGATAAACGGAAAATTGTCAACAATTCATAACACATTTGGAATACATTTCTAGTAAAATCAGATTGTCTTGAAGTTAAAAAAAGAATACTACTGGAAAAACACGTTGCCGCTCACATAATATAGAAATGTTTATCAGATATATATTATGTATATAATATCAATGAATGACATGGGTTTTATTGTGTAGCATCATAATCTCTTACATAATTTTGTTGATTTACTCGCCTACTTTTTCTTTGTTTATTTCTAATATTAAATAACAAAATTTGTACAATCATTAAGAAGGTTAAGGGATAGAAAATTGTTCTTATCACTTGAAGAAAGCAGTCCTGAAAGGGAAGTCCGAACAACAAAATAATAATTTCTTGCAATTAGAATATGCTAATAATTTTCGGGAAGGCCTGATTTGTAGAAGCTATCCGTTTGGTTCATGTTCAAGTTCAGATAAAAATAACGGTTCCAGTTGCAGGTTCGGTTCATAAAAATAAAAAATATAAGTTCGGTTTGAATCTCTAAAACCCCTTTCGAACTGTTTTATAAACTAATTTATAATAGGATGGAGAAAACCATAAAAAATATATAAAACGCTTATTTTATTATTATTTGCACATTTTAAATATCTAATACATAAATTGTTTAAAAAGTATTGAGCCTTACAATTAAAATATTTTTTATCTTAATCAAATTATTTATCTATAAGGAGAAAGTGTAAATTTGATTTTTGAAAAATATCTCTTTCCATGCAAACTTGAATAGCCAGCAATGCTATTATAACATCAGACAATTTATATAATTTAGGATAACGATTACTCTGATTTTTCCAATAGTTTAAAATATTCATTTCTTTATTTAGACCAGGTTCTTTAAGAAAATTAATTAAGATATATAATTCTAATCTTTCCAACTAATAGATTTTATTTGTGCCCATGTTTGTTCATATAATTCTTCTTCACGAATCTATGGCTTGATCACATCCCAATTCTTTTAATTTGTTTTGGCTCTTGCTGCGATATTTTGTTAATTAACGAGTTTTTTAGGTATCATTAAGAATAAATAATTTATATATCTGATTTAATTTATATCTAGACATTAATCAATGATGTATATATTCTACTTGATTGGTGGTTTGCTATATAAAAGTGTACATATATAGGAGTTATTTTATCTCCATTTTAGGGTTTGCACGTCGACTAATTGTCTTATCGACCATTATACTAATGCGCATTAAAGTCATTTAATAGACTTGCTAACCATAAATTAAATGGCACTACAGCTGATTCCTATGAATGTATACTCATTTAAATTCATTTAATACATTAATCCTCAATTTAGTAGTATATATACCAGAGACCTGCAGAGGTACCATTTGCACGGCCCGGCCCTGCCCGGCTTTAAATTTTTTAGGCCCAGCCCGGTCCGGATATTTAAAAAAAAATTTTTTACCGCCCGGCCCGGATATTTAAAAAAAAAATTTTTTACGGCCCGGCCCGGATTTGAAAATTTCAGGCCCGGCTCGGAATTTTTTAAAATTATATTCGACCTGGTATATACAAAAATTAACCTATGAGGTATTTTACCATATTTTTCAGCGAGTATTATCGTTTATTATTTAAAAATAAAAAGCTAATATTTTGAGAATATTATATTGAATTTATAAAAATTATAAAACTGTTATTTATAAAAATGGATATTTTGAGCTACTATATTTTATATTGCATTTATAAAAATAAAACTAATATTCATAAAAATGGTAATAATATTTGTCATATACTATATTTTATATTACATTTAAAAAAAATAAAACTAATATTTAATTTATAAAAATGGAAAATATTTTGAGAATATAATATATTGTATTTAATTTACTATTTAATTTATAAAATAAAAATAAATCGCTATTTAAAAAAATGCATGTATAATAAATAGTATTTTGAAAATATAATCTAATTGCACAATATTAATGTAATTTATTTTATAATATAAATTTTTAACAAAAGAAGATAATTGTATTATATAATATTGTAAAAAAAAATAATGAAAAAGGTTGGATTAAAAACTTTCATGACTCAAGGTAAATATAATAAATGTAGTGTTGTAAACGTACGCGTTCAAAATGAACGCGTTCGTGAACGAAGTTCGTTTTTTTGAAAAAAAGTGATAAACGGCGTTCCTTTTTTTTTGACGAACTTTGAACGTGAACGCGTTCCTTTTCTTTGATGAACGCGTTCAATTTTACGTTCGTTCAATTTTAAAAACACTTTTTATTTTTATTTATTTGAAAAATTAATATTAATCCGCATTTTTTAACAAAAAACGTTCCTTTTCTTTGATGAACGCGTTCAATTTTACGTTCGTTCAATTTTAAAAACACTTTTTATTTTTATTTATTTGAAAAATTAATATTAATCCGCATTTTTTAACAAAAAAGTCTTATATTTTTATTTTTGAAAAATTAATTCAAATTTTTTAACAAAAAAGTCTTATATTTTTTAATCAGCTGTTTTTACTTTTTCCTCTTTCATATTGCAATTAACGTACCATAACGTGCTACTGCTAGAGAAGATAAGATTAAAGTTTATTAATTTGAATATTTTATATTTTAATTTAATAGATTAGCATTTGCATGGATATAAATATTTCATCATCAGATTCTGAAAATCAAAATTCAATATTAGATGAATTAGATTTACCATGGCCCAAATATCAAAAATATTTCACTCCTTTTTTTTGACGAGGAAGAAGAGGGCAGATTGGAGGATGATAACATAGCTCAATTTTTTGAGACAATGGATAAAACATTAAATGTTTTTAATAAATTCCCCCTTTTAAAAGAATTGTTTATCAAGTATAACACCGCAATCCCTTCATCTGCCCCTGTTGAGCGAGTTTTTAGTATAGCTAACGCTGTATTAACTGCCAAGCGTTCATGCCTATCAGATGAAAATTTTGAAAAGCAATTATTATTAAAAATTAATAAGAAAATTTTTTTATAAATTTATTTTTTTATCGCTCTATTATATTGTATTTATAATTATATTATCAAAATAAAACTATTATTTTTTATCATGGCTAATATATTGTGTTGAAAAATATAAGGCATTTATTTATATTAAATTAAATTTAAAAAAAAATTTATCATAAACGCGTTCCTTTTTTTGAATTTGAACGTGAACGTGAACGCGTTCGATTTTTGTCAATGAACGTTGAACGCGAACGCGTTCGATTTTTTTAAAAATGTTTACAGCA